CCCCCCCAGTGCCGGGAAATCGATGCCAGTTCCATTAGGCTCTGCAGCGGTGCCTGCTGACCTGCCCCCCAGGGTGCAGAGTGAGGAGGCTGGATTGCACCCAAGTCCAGGGACCCTGCCCTCCACCCCTGCCCTGCCAGCCCGGAGCCTACACATGCTCCAGGGCACACCGAGCCCCCAGGCCCTGCTAGACGCTCCTCCAGGACAGTGCGGCAGGCAGCCCAGGAAGCCAGTGAGCACTAGGGGTGGGCATCAGGCAAGCAGTAAGGGGGGCAGGCAGGGTGGGCCAGTTCTAGGCTGGACAGAACTCCTGCCCTGAGATAGTCTTCAGAGGAGCGGGGCCCCGGGCAGCCCACTGGGGTCTCCTTGGGGCAGGGTGGAGCTGCAGTACTCAGGACCCCATGGCAGCCCAGCCCCGCTGGCCCCTTGGACACACACCATAAGCCCAAGGGCCCCTCCCTAGCAGCATGGCACTCACTGGCTTGGCTCCCAGGAGGCCCCACCTGGTCACAGCGGCATTTGCATACAGGTGGTGCTGCTTGGGTGGGTCATTTGGGTACAGCCTCCTCGAGATAGCCCTGAATGCCAGGTCCCAGGCTGTGCTGCTCTGCTGGGCTCAGACACAGAGCTACCCAGGCCCACAGGGAGGGAAGGACCTGGGTGCCCTCCACGCATGCTCACAAAACACCTGCCTGCCTGGGGTCAGCCTGGGGAAGGGTGGACCTTGGGCCTCATGAGGAACCCCCACCCAACAATGGGGCCCCAGTAGGAGCCAGAGGCAGTGTGGCCTGCCCCCATGTCTCCTGCAGCCGCGGCCCAGGGCCCAGCCCCAGGGACACTGGGGCTAGAACACTAAGCCAGGTCCACAGGAAAGCTCCTGGCCACTCCAGCTCCCCAGTCCCCACCTACCTGTGGGGACAGCATCCCCCGGATACCTTACCTTCCCCAGGGTCAGGGATCTATGATCCAGGCTGCCCCGACCTGTCCCCTAACACAACACCCAAGGAGCTGACCAGAGGGCTGGGGGGGCTCTGGGGAAGGGCCAGACCAGGTCATTCCCCTCAGAAGTATCAGGTTGGGCCCCCATCCCCAGCTGATGCCTGTGACTATGGTGACCAGCACACACTCCCTACAGTGGGCTCCAGCCCACCCGTGATAGATGGAGCCTTCCTGGGTGCCTGGATGAACGGGCAGCGAGCTGTCCTGTGACCCCGAGTGCTTGAGGCAGAGGGCAGTTCCTGCAGCCTGACCCTCCCAACGGGCAGGGGCTGCAGGGCCACGCACAGGCCGGCAGGCGGAGGGGGCCACCCAGGCCACGTGGGTGGGTGACCTCACTTCCCCAGGAGCAAGGAGCATGTCCTCCCAAATGCAGGACCCACAGTTCAGTCCCCCCTCCTCCTGACTGAGGCCGGCTCAGCCACACACACACGCGCGCACCAAGGCCCAGCTCATTCTGTGGCCCACCCCCTCCTGTCCTGCCCTTGGCACAGCCACAGCCACAGCCACAGCCAAGGCTGCTGCTGCGTGGAGCTGAGGGACGCTCGGGACAGCCAGCCATCTCGGGCTTCCCCGACCCGCCCTGGTTACAGCTCGGAGCCAGTGGACACAAGCTGGAGCCACACGAGCCTTTATTGGGTCTGCAGGGTGAGGGGCCAGGCCCAGCCTCTGTCCAAGCCCTCTGGGGTATCACTGGGGACCCAGGCTGGGGACCACAGAGCTGAGGAACCAGGAGATACCAAAGATGACGCCGAGGGTCTTGGGGACATCCGGGTTGTCCATGAAGGCCTGGGCGCCACCCAGGGGCAGGTGCACAACCTCAATGAGCTCACCCTCCTCAGCCAGGCCACCGCCCGGGCCACCCCGCTGGGCATCTGTCACCTCTGCATAGAACATGGTCTGGCTGGAGCCGGTCAGTCCCACGCCAGCCCTGCAGGTTGAGACATTGTCTGCTGAGCCACCATGCAGGCCCCGCCGGCCCTTCCCACTCCCCACCTTCCAGCCCTCGGGTGGGCACTCCAGGAGGCCCCCCACCCGTGGACATACTGCTCTTCAAGACAGAGCAAGCCGCCAAGCTGTGCGGGGCCACATGGCCAGGACCTGTGCAGCCTGGAGGAGCTGACCATGGTCCCGACCAACGGCCGGCCAGGACACAAGGTCTCAGTCACACAGCCACAGCAGTAAGCTGGGAAGAGGACCTGAGCCCCAGGGTACACAGCAGACCCAGCCACCACCCTGACCACAACTGCGAGACCCTGGGGGGCTGATGCAGATGTGAGGCCGTGGGGGCTGCACTGCTCAGCCTCTGGCAGGCTGTCTGGAGCACAGCACCTCCCTGCTCCTGTGCAGGCTGGGCCCTTAGGTAGGGCCTCCTTCCCCACTGTGCACCTACCCCGCAGTCCCCACCCCCAGGCTGCTGAGGTGTGTGCTGGGCCCCCCGCCTGCACCCAGGGATCTAGGCTGGTTGTGGGGAAGGCATGGGCCTGGGAGAGCTCCCCAAGCCGTCACCTGCAGGACACAAGCTGGGGACAGCAGGTGCCAAGGCAGCCAGGTGAGAGGCTGGGCTCGTGGTGGTGGGGGGGGTGGTGGCAGCAAGGTCCCCAAGCCCAAACCCATGGGTCCCAGGCTGGAGAGGAACATGAGAGTCCCCTTCTCAGTGAGTGTTGGACAGAAGGGGGCTACTGGCCTCTAGGAGGGAGACAAGCACCCAGGCAGAGAGCAGTGGCCCCAACTGGTTGGTGGAGGGCAGCCATGGTGACCGCTGGCTGTGAGAAATGGGTGAGGTCAGTCCGGATTCCAGCACAGGAAGGCCCAAGCGTGGTTTGCAGGGGGAGAAGGGAACCAAGGGGAGTCTGGGGAGGGGCCTCGGGAACAGGGGAGACCCCGGGTGAGCCCAGGTTAGCTGCGGCTGCCCTTGGAGACGCGCCCAACACACAGGGCAAAGAAAAGGGCTGAGGGGCTTCCACTCCCCACCCCAGGAGAGGCCCCACTCGGACTGACCTCACCCAGCTGCTTCCTCTGCCCTCCATCCCCTTATCTCCCTCAGACCCTTCCTGATGGGCCGTTTCCGCCGGCGGCACGGCTGCCTTTGATGGAAGCCCGTCTGTGGGGTTTCCAGTCGGTTTCCTCCGGCTCGTGAAGGAGACAGGCGTGGCCTCTGAATATGCCCGGCCAGGCAGGGCACTGCCTCCCCTCCTCACTCAATCGTTTCCATGGCTGGCTAATCTCAGAAGGGTGCCTGGGCCTTGTCACCTGGGACTGGCAGGTGAGTGGCCTGGCTCACCTCTGGGGTGATGGAGAGGAAGCCGGGGCCCTGCTACAGGGCAGCATGAGCTCTGCTGTCTGTCCAGCCCTCGTGAACCCCACAGGGACAACTGCCCTGATCTCCACTCCAGCCCCCCTCCGGTCCTGTCTCACCACAGCCAACCCTCCTCTCCATCACACAAGTCTGAGCAGGCTGCTCACTGTCCACAACCCTCCTTGGCTCCCCAGCACCCTCAGGATCAGGCGGCAGCCCAGAGGCCCTGCATGTGGAGCCACTGCAGCCAGGCTGCTGGTCCACTTGCCCAGAGCCTCTGCCATGCAGCCCCTCTGCCAGGACCCCCACCAGGCTCACATCCCAGGTGGGGGCAACCCCTCCAGGGCACCTCCCACCTGCCTTCCTCTTTGCCCACCCCTGGCGCAACCCTTACCCCAGGGCAGGCCCCTTGGAGTCTCCCCATCCCCAGCAGGCTCAGGGGACAAGTAGCCATTGGCCGGCCACACGAAGGACACCTGCAGAACACTGAGGGCCCTCACACTAAGATAGCCAACACTACGGTGTGGAAATCCTCAATCCTGTTTAACACGGAGGATCCCGAGGCTCACCTCCTTCCTGGGACTGGAGATAAACCTCCACCCACAAAACTGTAGGCTGGAGGGCCCCGGTGAGGCCCTGGGGGCTGTTGCAGCAGGGGGGACCCAGCCCAACACTGCACGGCCCCTGACTGGACTGAGAGGAGTCAGAGCCCCCAGGCCTTCCTCCTAGGGGTGCCGGCCCTGTCCTCTGGAGAAGGCCCGGAGCTCAGTGTAGTCAGGACACTGCGAGGCCCTCCTCCTGCCCCAGACATCCCTGAGGGCAGTGCGCCCAGGGCAGGGGGTGGGCTTTACCCCAACATCCTATCCTAGAAAGGAAGCCCCAGCAGTAGGCCTCATGGGGAGTGGGGGGGGGCGCCTGGGCCCAGGTGGGGCTGGCAGGCCCTGAAGTTCATCGTCCAGGCCACACCTCTCCCCCCTCCCCAGGAGTGCTGGGGCCCCTCCCAGCCCAGGACACAGCCATCCCCTCATTCCTGAGCCACTGTCCGAGCAGATCTATGACTCACCCCCACACCCAGAGCCTGGTGCTTAATCCCACAGGAAGTAGAGACATCTGTCAGCAGCAGCTGCCACCGAGCCAGCCCCACAAGGCTAGGGGCCACAGGGTGGGGGCTGCAGGGTAGGGGCAAGGGCGCAGCATGCCCCAGAAACAGCTCCAAGAGCCCCAGGTTCCGGTCTGGATCACGATCTGGGTGCGTTCCATCCAACTATCCCCCAACCCCACGATGAAAACAAGGAGGCATTGCCTCACTTGCACACCCCTGGGGACGGGGCGCTCATTGCCTGGAGGCAGCCTGTCCCATCCCCTGGGAAGCGCTGAAGCAGGGGGCCCCTCCCTGGCCTTGCAGGTCCACAGGCCCAGCCCCACTCACTTGTAGGTGGCCACCCGGCGCAAGTCGGACGGGGTCAGGTGGTAGCCACACTCCTCCCAAGCCTCCTTGCAGGCCACTTCCTCCAGTGACAGTCCGGGCTGGTCCACAAGGCCGGCGCACAGCTCATACGTCACCCCTGCTGAGCCCGGCAGTGCCACCGGCAGCACCCGTGGCCCATCTTGGTCCACAGCTGCCAGGGAACCTGGGAAGCGGCGTTCCACCTCGCCCACATACACAGCTGGTTGGGGGGAGGGCAGACTACAGTCACAGCCATGTGGCAGCCACCTCCTTGTAGACCAGACCCCCTCACCAGGCCTCAGTTTCCCCTGGAGCTCCTCCCGACATCTGCATTCTGACCCTAGGACCACAGGGGCCTGAAGGCAACCTCCAGGTCTGCCCTCCCCACACCCCCTCTGGGGGCCTCACCTGGCCGGAACTGTTTCACCAACACCAGGCTCCTCTGGGAAGAGTTGAACAGGAGAATGGTCACACTGTGGGGCGGGGGTGGGCCAAGCTCAGTGCAGAAGCAACCCCCTCCCCTGGCCGCCCTGGACCCCACTCCCAGCCCACCTCCTCTCCCCAGCAGCCTGGGGAAACTAGGTCCCTTGGTCAGATGGGGAGTGAGGCCCAGGCGGAGCCAGAGCTTGCCCGGGTCACACAGTCAGGCTAGGACCCAGCTGGCAGGACAGGGCAGTGGGGTGGGGAAGACATGTTTGGAAGTTGGGGGCTGGGTGACTGACAGGACATGTGGTCCCCGTGGGCCAGCTGCCTGCTGAGCACACTCCTGAAGCCACGTCGCTATCTAGCCCATATCCCACTGCTCAGGGGCAAGGGCACCCAGACAGCCTCTCTCAGGTCCCACCGGGGACCCAGCTCAGCCACCAGGCCTTGGGGCGACCCTCAGTGAAGGGAACAGGAGAGTGGGGATGTTTGTGGGGGAAACACAGATGCAGAGGCAGGGTCCCCGTGGGCATGGGAGGGGCCCCGACTGGGACCTCACCTGTCATGTGTCTTCATGAAGTCCCAGGACTTCTGGATGCCATTCTGAAAGAGGCGGGGCAGCGGTCAGGGTAGCAGAGGGCTGCCCGCATGGGGGGAGGTGTTCTGGGGAGCTGAGGAGGCCAGACAGTCCTGCAGCACCAGCTCCGGCCACGGAGGCCCCCTCCCAGCCTGGGCCTGCTGGAGCCGGGAGCTCCCACAGGTGAGGAAGGGGAGCGGCTGGGCGGGGAAGAAAGGTCAAGGACAGCCTGGGGTTCTGCAGGTAAAACAGAAAACCAGGGCAAAGGAAGGAAGGCACCCCAGGCACAGCATGAGCACATCCGGCACAGGTTAAGCACAAGGCGCTGCAGAGATGTATGCCATCACCGAGTGGAGGGAGGA